TTAATCCAAAATGCTGCAGCCAGAGTACTGACAGGAACTAGCAAGAGAGATCATATCTCTCCCATATTAGCTTCTCTCCACTGGCTCCCTATAAAATTCAGAATAGAATTTAAAATCCTTCTCCTAACACACAAAGCCCTTAATGACAAGGCTCTATCGTATCTTAAAGACCTCGTAGGGCCTTACCATCGTAACAGAGCACTTCGCTCTCAGAGTGCAGGTCTACTTATGGTTCCTAGAATCCACAGAAGTACAATGGGAGGCAGAGCCTTTAGTTATCAAGCTCCTCTCCTATGGAACCAACTCCCAGTCTCAGTTCGGGAGGCAGACACCCTCTCTACCTTTAAGAGTAGACTTAAGATTATCCTTTTTGATAAACCCTATAGTTAGGGCTGGATCTGGTGACCCTGTCCCTTCCCTTAGTTATGCTACTATAGGCCTAGGCTGCTGGGGGTCCATGGTCCTGTCCTGTCCTGTCCTGTCCTCTCCTCACCCCCTATGCATCTATATGCCACCATTACACATCACTAACGTTGTGTCTCCTCTCCCCCTGTACCTTTCAGCAGGTAGCCCTGGCTCTGGAGCTCTACATCTCTGATGAGCAGTCACAGGCCACATCAACCTGATCAGTGTTTGATTGATTGTTGTGTCTTGATGCTTTTCTTCTTTTCTCTCTCCTCTATCCTCTCACCCCAACTGGTTGAGGCAGAAGGCCGCCCACCACGAGCCGGAGTTTGTCGGCGGTGTCTTCTGTTAAAGGGAGTTTTTCCTCCCCACTGTCGCCAAGTTCTTGCTCAAGAGGGATTTGTTGGGTTTTCCCTCTGTAATAATAGTGATAATAGTAAGGTCAAGACCTTACTTTGTAAAGTATCCTGAGATTACTTTTGTTGTGATTTGGCACTATACAAATAAAATTTGATTTGATTTGATTTGAATGAATCACCTCAGACATACTGTAATTAAACTAACTCTGATTAGCTGGTCTGGAACCAAAAACTCAAGAGCTTCCCATATTAGAATTAGCCAACTCACAGTTCAGGGTTAACGTCAGAGTTAACACCTTGCATACCCATTTGGGTAAAAACACAATTAAAATTAATAACTGAGATTCACAAATTCTATTAGGCAGACTTTGCTACAAATAGACAAAACTAGTCATGTTATTTTCCTCCTGCTGTATTTATGCTAAGCTAACCTGTTGTTAGCTGTAGCATATCCTACAGCCATGAAAGTATTTCCTAGAATGTTGAATACATAATTTACTTTATGCTTAAGATAAAATTGCTGTATACAACTTATACAAAACCTATGCTGTGGGCCTATTTAGGCATGAACAAAGAGTGTAGTGCTCTACCTATTCATTTCCACAGTATATGCAGCACTGCAGGCCTATAGCATATGAATTATGGGAAATAGCCTAAGCATGATGACCAAAAACCCCTGTTGCTCATTCATCTCTTTTCAAAATGATTCAATGATGCCTAGGATACACAAAATGATCACAAAACAAGATAAATCATCACGGTCCTCTCACCCAACAGTTTCTTTCTAGGACTTCTTGAAGTGCAAAGCTGCTCTGCCCATCATATGCCTATGCAACATGGCTTTGTGAATTATCTACTCCAGCTACAAAACTCTGAGCATCTGCAGGCAACAGGATATCCTGCTGAGAAATGTGGCAGGGATAACAGCTGCTGCTGATTTCTCTGGGTTCGCTCGATCATGTCTGATGGCACTGAGGCTTTCAGAGGACTGTCATAGAGCAGAGTGGGGCCATTATACGCTCTCTTCACCACTTCTCTCTGATGGGAAAAAGGTTGAGACCATCAGACCAGGGCTGAGAATTGCTGTACTGACAGACTGTGGCCAGACAAAAAGTAATCTATCTGTGTGTGAGCTCTTCTCTCCATGGGAAGTCTTTGACATCTCCAACCAGCTGTGCTGCAGTGGAGAGCTTCTTCCATTGTGTGACTCGACTGGGAGCTGTTCTCTAATTGAAAAGAACGGGAATGGAGACTTTCACTTGGACTCCCTATTCACTGATAACTAATCAATAGCTTTATGAATGACGAGCCAATGAGTCAAAACTCAAGACATGCACCCTTGCAGAACTTAGTTGGAGGAAAACATTCCGTATTAAAGCCTAAATTGTAAATACCACCTTACCATCTGTCCAGGCTACAGCCAACATTTGTGTTCACTTACTAGCTTCAGTTCACTTAAGAAAATCCCAAACCTCAGTCTGGCTTTGTTTGCTACATTTTGTATGGGCTTAGGATGACCTTGTGCTAAACACTGCTTTGTGCAACTTGGGGTTCAGTGTCTTACCCAAGGATACTTCAACATTCGGACTGGGGAGACCGGAGATCAAACCACCGACCTTGCAATCAGAGGTCAACCCATTCTACCCCTGAGCCATAGTCATGACATCCATATTGACACTCCATCCTGTAGTTCCCAAGATATTTCATGGTGGCTCTGCAGAAACGGTCCCAGAATCACCAAAGGGATGATTAGAAGTCATTCGCTGGGGACCATGCACGTCTCTATGAAATGTCCTGGCAATCCATCCAGTAATTGTTGAGACACTGCCTTTCAGTTTGAACCAAAGGTGTAGACCAACCAACACAGTGACAGTGCCATCCACAGAGCCACGCTGCTAGCATGGTTAAAAAGGTTAAAGCCATTATTCTTTGTCATTTATAGTTCCTTTATAAAGCATCAATTATTATAAACTGGTAAAAAAACAAATTTGGCTATGAATGAGGCCACAGCACAGATTAGGTGCTGGTGTGCAATAGCCAGGAGACTTAAAACAGAGGATGAGCCATTATTCTTATTGTTATATTAAAACCTTGTAAATCCCGTGGTTTTTAAAACTGTGTAATATGATTTTGCATAGCATTTACAGTATGTGTAATTCAGATTTCATGACCTTAAAGCACTCAGCCAGACATTGAAAGTCTGACTGCAATTAGAAAATTGTTTGGCTGTCAGCGAGTCTGATTAGAGGTGCAAGGGGTTTCTTAGATGTCGGCAGTAGAGCTGGAACATCAGCAACACAGTGCAAAGAGTACAAGTTTGATTATGACCAACGATGGCTTATTAAGGCATGCCTAAAGGGTACAGGACCTGACAGCAACAGCTGCAGAATTTACAAGCAGTTCAGGATGATACAGGCTGCCAACAAAGTAGTAGACTCCCACACGCGCACGTTTTGGTGGTCCAAAAAATTTAAAAACCACACTCTACATACATGTTCCTCACCCAGTGAGACATTACTACTGGGTACACATGCTAATGTACAAAACTAATGAATATGCATTTAGAACATTTAATACACAACAGAACAAAGACAAACAGGGTGAAAACATTTATTTCTTTCAGTTATTTAATAAATACATTCCACAGTACACGTTTAACATTTTATATTCAACATATACACGTAGTTGATGGTATAACTTAGACCAACTGCATTCACAGAGTTAGTCTTTGCCACATAACTGATGATTGACCTGATAAGTGATACTGCATTGAAGTAGAGCATTTACACAGGTGCAACTGTGCCTTTCTCCGAGAAAGGTAACTAAAACCTGCAAGCTGCACTCATACAATTATTGGCTTTTTCAGCAACATTTCATGGCAACATTTTGACCACTCGAGGTACTCTAATAAAGATTAAGAGACATCTAAATATCAATGAATAACTCAATAAGGGAGAAACATTCCAGTATGCAGGGTTCCCTGTTTTACTGTCACACAACCGCTCTCATAAAAGCAGTCCATATCTCACCTTCTTTAGTACCAGAACAGTGAAGTTACAGTGCCACCGTGTGGTCAAGGTTGGGAACTAATCCACCCTGACTAGCTCAGACTGCGTGGGAGAACGGCCTGCAATAGATTGCTGCTCTGTCTCCGCATGGCATATAATAAGAGTTTTTATAGAAAGTGGGGGCAGAAAAAAAAACATGTCACAACAACCTGAGACTGACAGCTGATTAAAATCACTTCAATTTTAAAGTCATGCAGTCCTCAAAGCCAAAATAAAGCACCCTGATGTGTGTTCAAGTGAAAGCCATCGTCAGTCGTTGATTGATTCCTGGAACAAGATGTGAAAGCCATTCAGAGTAAAACAACGGGGACTCACAAATAAATATCATAGTAACATGATGTATCAGTCATTTTCTTTGCTGATGAAAAAACATTCTTAAGACCAATATGAAGTCCAGTCAACAGATTTGGTAACCTTGCATTCAAAGCCCTGGTCTTGACTCAAACCCCACGTTTTCCTTCCACTTTTACATACAAGCACACAGCATGATGCCCATTAAGTGTGTTTTTACGGCAATTTAGTAGCAAGACAATGATGGTTGAGAACACAGGATGTGATAGTGTGTTTTATTGCTGTCTCTGGCTCAGATCATTATAGCCAAATTTCTGTTGCAGTGTTTAAGTGGTGGCCCTGTTTCCACTTGAATGTTTGCTTTGTTTTCTGCTTTTGTCTACATGTATTAACTGAGAGCTCCGGCTGCATTATTATTGGACCTTGAGAACAATGGCAAGCTTTTATTGCGAATGATTTTATGCTGAAAATTGACATAGTACTGCTACAGTGCACAATGACTGTGGTCACAGATTTTCAGTGTATGGCAGCCATTTTACTGAGCGTCATATTTCACCTGTGGCTGACTTCACTCCTCTTCTCCTCATACATACTGTATTGTGTCTTGATGGCATGTACAGCCATGCTGACTTCACGATTAAAACCATATTACATTTACTGTAATTAAGAAAAAAAAATCTCAATTTGTACTCCATGGGAGCAGTAACTCATTATATGATGAATTTTGCATGACTCCAGTTTTCTTCACGCTGGCTAAAAGCAACCTCTCTCACTTTAAAAAGCAAAGATGCAATCAAAGAAATATTAAAAAACAAGAGTGTGCTGATCAACTTTGTGAAGGATCACTGAAAGCAGGAGGAAACAACTGTCACTGAGGTTTTCATCTAATCAGGCTCAGGGTAAGAACACAACAGCTAAGAGATGGAGGTGCACTTGGTTTTTAAATAGTATCTGACATTTTTAACATCCCTGTTATTCAAGCAAAAAACAAAGACGCTAATGCTAATTGACCATGTGCCAGTCAGTGCTGTGGTTGCAAATGAAACCTTACAGTGGGAGTAAGTTTAGACAGATTGATAATGCGCTCACCTCTTCTAGACAAACTGTTGTGGCACCGTTGAGCAAGTAAATCGATGTAAATTGCTTTCATGGTGCTCTCAGTGGGGGGAGACTGTGGTATGTATTACAACTGTATACATGTAACAGGACTGTGCTGAAAACAAGCATACTCAGAACAACCCTCTTCTGGATAAATAAAGTTTAAGACAAGTACAGCTGTGTGCTGGCTTTGCCACTGCACCTCTGACCTGTCGGAGGGGTCTCTGCTTGGCGAGTTGAAATGCACTGTGAACAAAAGCGAGGACAAATGTGTCCAGTCAGCGATGCAGTGTCTGTGTTTAATCCAGGGGAACCTCTGGCATGCTGGGTAATGCAGAGACTGTGGCCCGCTTAGATTCCATCATCTTATCCAGGCCGAAGAGCAGGTCCAGCTGGGTAACTGGTCGTAAACGCTCCTCATCCACAGGTCTGAAGCAAAGGATACATGTGGTCAGAGGTCTATACAAACAATAGCTGTATTCTATTTCATTACGACACACTACTGCGTACAGCATGTAATATATAATCTAATCTAATCTTCGTAGTGTACGGTTTTCACAGTAGCATGTAAACATTCAAGATACTGAACTTTTTATATAGTGCTTGAAGCCATTGGATAACAACAAAACTGTGGCTATAGAATGCCACCACCAATTAAATCCTCACAAAGCACAACACTTCTCCAAAAATCTAACTTATTTAGTTTTCTGCGGTGCTCTTCAAGCTGTTTCACATCCACCCTGAGTAGAAACGTTTTGCAGTTGCGAGCAGCGCCTTCATTTTCTGCACTGCTTAGCACACTCAAAAATCCCGGGTTTTTAACTACACTGGCATTACTAGAAACTGGCATTTTTGTCTATATGTACAATACAGTAATGTTGTTACTTTTCCTGTATGAACACTAGGGATGGGACACTATATCAAAATTCAATATGTAATGCTATATAAAAACGGCACAATATGTCTCGTTGTCTAAACTAACGTTACTTTGTTTACCAACTACAGCCAGCTCTTCCCTCTCTCACCCTCATCTCTCTGAACCTCTGTCTTGGCCTCCTCTAAAGAATTTTCTTATGTCCATTTACAGGAGTCAGTTATGTTTGAGATCATCTGTATTATTCAAAAACTTAACTTAGTCCCATCACATACAGTCCATCCCTTTCTTTTGTCTTTGCTGCATGCACGCTACAGTGCACCAACTACGACATGCGTATGTGCGCACCATGGCGTATGAACCCTGACCACTGCGCCTCAACTTGTATTTTGCTTTGACATTCTGGATATAGAACAAATCATTTTAGCATCACATTAGCATGATTTTACTGGGACACAGCGGATTGATAATGGGGCCTGTGCTCCAGTAAAAGTGGTCTAACAATTCCTATGGCAATACTGTATATATCGTGTTGTCTCCATACACCAGCAACTTCATAACAGAACATACGTCAGTCAGCATATCTGGCTGTTCTTTACATGATCAAACCAGTGCTAAAAAAGGGGAAAAAGTGAGTAATAAAGTACAAGTATTCCGCAGCTAGTCATACATTGTTGTCATTGAATTTTTAATTGTATTGTGATTGAATCGAATCGTACACACCATATCGTACAACTAACGGTATTGAGAAAAAGTCAGATTGTCCCACCCCTAGTGTACACGGTACATACTCAAAACCAGGTGAGAACTGAACTCCCATTTGAACAGTCTTATTGGTACAGTATCTGAGACACATTCCTATTTGCTACATGTGCCATGTAGGAACCAGAGACCACAAGATCAACTCCAGTAACTACAGTAAGGCTACATGTCTGTAGAAAGGTTCTAGCATTTGCTTCGGCCTCTTTAAGATTTACACACCCACACACACATTTGAAGCCACATGCTGACGCCTGGTATCATAATTGCTCATCTATGATTATAGTGTTCAGAAAGCTGAAAAGTAAAAGTTAAAAATATTTATTCTTTAACAATAATGTCTTGTTCCAAGAAAGGTTTGAATAGTTGCTTAGCAACAGCTGAAGCACGGGTTACACAGCTCAGTCTTATTCTTTTATAAAATCTCAGATACTGAGTTCCATAGTACTTTGTGATCAGTGTACCAATAGCTGTGTGAGTGCTCAACATGAATACTTTTAATATCTGACAGTCTATACACTGCTTCAAAAGCTTTCAAATGTTATGAAAACTGACAAGAATGTTTATGGGAACACTATATTAAGAGTACATCACTCCATATAATATTGATAGCAGCTTTCTAAAACCCACACTGGTCTAACCTCAAAGTGTTTAGGGTAGGTACTGTAGTTAACGAGATGCTTAGTGTGCACAAGGGCCATGAAATCTTGTGGGTGTTTGAATATGAGTCATACTTCTCCTCCTCCTGGCAGCCCTGTAACTGCTGAGCGATTTGCCTCATCTGTTCCTTGCGGACGTAGTCCCGGACTCTGTACATGGCGGCATCACGACAAAGCTCCCGCAGGTCGCTGCCAGAGTAACCTTCTGTTTTCTCTGCAATCTCTTTCAGATTGATGGCATTACTCAGCTGAGCAAAAAAACAGGACAGATATATGAGACCGTTATCTAAAATGAATCTAGAAGCTGTCACCAGTTTTTGGCCGTTTGTTACTGGTCAGATTTACTTTAAGGTGATTTTATAATGAAAACACATGTGTGAAATGGTTTCTGTGAATGACACAGAGAGAGAGAGCTGTGAAGAGAATAATTTCTTCCACAACTGTCTAGGATGAAAAGAAATCACAGCTTACATTTTCTCCTGCTAATATCAGCCTCAAGATGTCCTCTCTTTGTCTTGTGTTCTATAAAGACACAAAGGCATTTGCTCTTATTTGGAAGATTAAGTATACTAACGCGCAGCCTGTATGTATTTATTAATTAGTAATGAATCACCAGTTTACAAACTTTCTAGTTTAGACACATCTCAGTGTTTTGACAGTCATGTTAGGCATCAACAGTTCACCAACATTTATGTATGACAAAATAAGGAGCTGTTTACTGTACTGGAACAAAGATACAGCCCAGGCCTTTTGTGGTTTGGCCAGCAGCCATAACAGTTCAGTAAAACACACCATTTCAATCATTAAATTTAAATAAATTGTACAATGAAGCCTCGAGTGAGTCATCAGCAAATAGAAGCTTATTCTATAGTTTTTTCATATAAATGCACCCATTTCTCATACATTATAAAATGTAACTGTATATTAAAGATATAAAACAAAATGAGAGTAAACATGTTCCAAAACGATAACCTGTATGTGCTCTGTGTATTCAGTTAGACTACACAGACTCTGTGTAGCTGGTGTACGTGTCTTACTGGCAGGCCAACGTGGAAAGTGGCAGGCATCCTGCGCAGAATGGCTGGGTCCATGTCCTGTGGCCTGTTTGTAGCTCCCATCACCATCACCTACAATCATAAGAACCACAACGTGCACGTTATGTTAAAATACCCCTTTCTGCATAAACTCTTCAAATACACCACAGCACCGGGTGTTACACAGTCTAAACTGTACGTATTTAGATAGTTATATAATAGTTTAGATTTTATATATTTTGGAAAACAAAACTGGATACCATTTTAAAGTGCCAAGCTTTAGTTTGAGTATGTTTACATATCTACCACTCCACTAATTAAAGTGGAGACTTGACACTTTAATACAGTATCCATGGTTTGATTAGAAATTGAAGGTGCTGAACCACAGAGCCTGAAGAGCAAAAGGTCTGGACTGTAGATATTACGGCCAGCAACTCTTATGAGCCAAGAGAGATTCCAACTAATATCTACCAATATAAATACTCTGATAGCTTTATTATAGCATGTGAAAACACTGTGCTTGTGCTATAGTTGTGGTCAAAAATGATCTGACATTAGTGTTGAGGTGCCAATATGTTTGGCCATGACTGTACCTGGGTGCTTGGGGACGTATCCAGGCCATCCCACAGGCTCATGAACTGGGCCTTCATCATGGCTGTGGCCTCGTGATCCAGGCTGGAGCGATTCCTCAGAAATGACTCTAAGACACAAAAGGCGAGAAGCATAATCAAAGCATGGGAGCAGAGTCTGTACAAAACTCATCATAACAGACTGAAAGCAATGGGTTGAAATCAGTTTGGTCCATTTCAGGGACTAGACAGGATTAGAATTGTGGTTGGTCTGTCTGTCAGCAGTTGGAGCTGCAGCAATACTGCTGTCCTACACTGATATTAGGGAGGGGACATTATGACTGTATTTACCACTTTCAGGGGTGCGCGCCTGTAAGAAGAGCTAAGAAACCTCACTCACATTTCTGTAATTAGAGATGCACCGAATGCAATTTTCTTGGCCGATTCTGATTTCCGATTTTTTTTTAACTTTAGCCTGCCGTTTCTAATTTTATTTCTAAGAACTGCAATTGACAGGATACACAGATATTTTTGAACGTTTTCTTTAATGAAAAATTAAAATGTAATAAAAAATAAAACACTGCATCATAGTTTTACATTTCTGTCTAGGACATATCTACAGGGGAACAAAGCTAACATTTTCCAAGTAATCACTGCTGACGGGCGTCCTGTTAGATACACTCACCAATCTCATCAATAAAGATGATACAGGGCTGGATTTTGACAGCCAGTGAGAAGACAGCAGCTGCCAACTTCTGTGATTCACCGTACCACATATCTGTCAGTGTGGAGGCCTGAAGGTTGATAAACTTGCAGCCAGAGGCTTTTGCTGTTGCCTTGGCGATCATAGTCTTTCCACATCCTGGAGGACCAAACAACAAAACACCTGCAAGGACAAATACATATTTGTAATGTTTTGTTCAAATTCCTGCATATCCTATTCAAGTCAACCAAATGTCCATATCTATAAAATCTACCCTGTTTAAGCACAATGAAATACAATAAAAAAAAAAGATCTTCTACTTTAAATATTTTATTACTTAAGGAAAACCTGAATTCCATCCAACCATTAAACAAATGCTGTGTAAAGACCCCAACTTTTCCTGTGTTGTCTCACACAGATACAAATTGATGGTCCAACTTAACCAATCTGTTCCCACAGGCACATTTTGTAAAAGCTACATGATATAAACAAAGCTTGAATACTAGGAGTGGAACTGGATTCCCAAAGCAGGTCATTTTGGAGGATGACTCGTGTGGAAGCTCTGGATATAACTTTATGCCAAACCATAAAAACCCTCTACAGAAAGCACAGTATTCCTCTAAGTGATCATCTGCCATCAGGCTGCCAAGTGTATAAATATTGTCAGATGCTTATTGGCACATATCTCTAGATAGAAGCATAATGTACTGGATGACTTTCTAACAATAATGAGGAGAGTGGAAGACAAACTGTGAAGAAACAAACTTTGTCAGTCTCTTGGGTCTTAAAACCAAGTTTATGTTGGCTAGTTGTTTATGTACTCCAACACAAAGTATTTCACAACAGAAACAATAACAGGAATGTGGTTCTCATCATTTTGATTCTACTGCAATGCATTAGATTCAGATATAAATAATGACTATGAGATTAACAGGCACTTTGAGGGTCTTCACACGCATAGTGAGTTAATGATCCTGAACACTTACTATATTATGTTTATTATATGTCGTCCTATGATGTTAGCCTGAAGCTTAAAATGATGAGTGTAAAGGTTCTGTTCAGATGACATTCTGTGGCACCTTTAGGGGGCTGAAAGAGTTTAGATCCAGCTAATAGATGCCTTTTCTGAAAGGGCAGGATGACAGTGTCTTGCAGCTCATTGATAACCTCATCCAGACCTGCTATATCACACCAGGACACCTGCAGGAAGGTAGAGGAGTGTGAACAATTCAATGTGAGTTCTTGTCTGGGAAAGTGCAATCACAAAAATTGGCCAAACTGTCTTGACTCTAGATAATCTTAATATGGCAAACTGAGAATTACCACTGTTACCTTCATAGTCTGTGGATCAACTAGTTGAGATGCAATGTTCATCTCATACTCTGTTAGCTTGACCCCTTCGACACCAATCTTCTTCATCAGCTGCTCTGCCTGGAGAGAAAAGAAACAACTCAGATGAGGACACAAGGGGTAACAGAGTGCAAAATGCTGCCCCAGTCATTCCTTTTCATGTCTTAATCATGCCTGCTACACTGACAGCAGAAAACTTAAACAGAAACCTCCACCTCGGGCTTAAATGAATCTGTTAGGTACTTAGGTTTTATATACCCTTTTTTTGGCTTGGCTTTTCTGTTTGGAGGTAGGGTCCATAGCTTCTACAACCCATTTGATGCTGTAGTATGTAGCTGCACCAAAGATGGTCAACTTCACCAGCATGCCTACCACTTCATTTCTGGACAACGGCCGCATCAGGGCCTCCCTGGGGAGATCTTTAAACAGCATCTTTGCTGGTTGATATCAGTCCAGAGGCTGGATAGAACTGTAGGAAACAGAGGAATGAAACACATAATCAAGAATGAACTTTTAGGGAAGCAGGATTTACATACAGCTCACTGGATTCAGGAATGGTCAGTAAGTTTGCAATCAAAATGTATCTGATTTATGCATTTCTGTGCAGAGAGCTACAATCCTGCAATACTTGTTTGATTAAATGACACAACTTAATGCTGCTTTCTAGTAAGTTACTGTGTTTAAAGTGACAATATTTCAAGTGTGTAAATACCAGTTGGTCCTGGATGAAATAACAAATTGTTGCAAATGAGTGTGAACCAAATCAAAACATTTAACACTTTTGCTTGTTGGATAAGGTGTATGCCGACCTGAAGAGTGGCTCATGATTATTAGCCACAGACCGTAAAAAACGTTCATTGAGATGTTGCTTATGTTTTTAATGAAAATTACAGGTAAAGCAACAGTCGTCGAAGCCAAAGCTACTAAAGCAAAGCAAAGCAAAGTAATACTAAAGAAGAAGCCCTAAATTAGCATGTTCAAGTAAGCTAAAGCTAACACTAGCACGTAGCAAACTCACTATCATTATATATTTCTGATATAAACAAAAGTTAAGAACTAATACGTTTTAATACATTTTAACCCATATTCTCTATGATGGCACATAAACGCAACTCGTAAGCCAAAACCGTCCCACTTACTGCAACGGGAACACTGTGCCGAAAATGCTAAACACTAGCATGTGCGGTGCACCACGCTTTGTAAGTCGGAGGGGAACAAAACACCATAGTTCCGGAATATGTCTCATTAACAGAGCAGGCGTCTCATAGTTAACCACTGGATGGCAGAACTTTCACACAGATGATGCTCATATCAGCACCATGGACAGCATCTACATGACCACACAGTAGGTAGGCAAGACTGAAACGAAGGTGTGATTGGTGAAACAGGCAGTGAACAAATGTTGCACTAACCAATGTTGGGTGATTTTGTGCTCGTGGACTTAGAATTAAAAAAAAAAATAAAAGCATGGAACTTTGAAGGATAGATTTATTTTACAACAAAATAAAAATATGTGTGTGCAGCTTGTAATATTTACACAGAGATAAAATCATTAATAGGCTATTCTCGATAAAATACTTATTTAAAAACACTACAGTAGGCTATGTATCAAATCAGGCCAAAGGCTATTTTAAATATACAGAATGTTAGTTTTTGCCAGTCATTCTGATGAGCGCAAGCTACTATCATTATACTGTATCTTTTGGAGCTGAATATTTTTTCCAGGTTGGCAGTAGATTTGTCGATTAGACTGTAATTTGATCTCAAACACCCAAGCATGTCCTAGGGTTTGGCTACATGCAAATATATTCCACACTGACATAGCTCAAATCTGAAGCCCTATCTGTGTTTGGTTTCCATTCATTTCAAGGGCTGTGTGATAATGGATAATTCAGACTTCTTAACAGCAGCCTCATAGATAAGGCTGTAACAAATGGCCCTCTCCTACAAGCAATTTATCACACATGGGCCAAAAGGATTGTTAACTGTCACAGATTGTGAGCTAAATTTGAAAATGCTGTTGCAGCATGTACTGTATCCAGAATGGTCTCTGGATTTCACCAGTGAAATTAAGAGTAACACTGCTGAGAAGAAATTAAAGAATGCTATAGAACTGTTTAACCAAAAAAAAAAAAAAAAAAAAAAAAAAAAAAAAAAAAAAAAAAAAAAAAAAAAAGAAAAAAGAAAAATCTATTTGAATCTGCAACATTTTACATCAGATGATTTTACAAGAACGGGTTTTTTTGGTATTTCGCTTCCAAAACTCACAGCTCTTGCATCAATATGAAGTCTACACCTGAAGCAAAAATAAACAGTTTTCACAGTAATGTTCACCTCACACTCCATAAGGAATAGAGTACACCTCTCTGTGAACATAATTAACTGGATTTGGCACAATGTACTAGAAAAGGGGAATTGTCTTCTCTTTCTTTTTGTGTGTGTGTGTCTGTGTGTGTGTTTTCTTTCCTGTGCATTTGTGTTGGGTTAGAACCTCCAAAGCAAAATTATGCACAGTTCCATCCTGGACTTTTGCGCCTTCAAGTGTCCAGCAAAATTAAGTCCACCCTTGTTGTGGAAAATGAAACACAGGCTGCTCTTGCACACACCTTTGGCTGTGAAAATGCTTCATAAAAAGCATTAATCCTCCTGTACTGCAGCAGCGAGTCCCAGGAGATAGCAGCCTGACAGGGCCATTTTGATGGGTCTGGGCATGAAAGCGTAGGCTTGTGTATCTGCAAACTGCAGCCGAGTCTTCACATTCCCACAACGCCTTGCACTTCCCCCAAACAACCGCCCAAAAAAACACATTCCGCTTCCATGGCTGTCAACCTCCACCTTGCAATAGCTAAAAAAAGATGTAAAGCCCTCTGCATGGAGCATTCACATGCCAAAGCTGTACATTTTTGAGAAAACTGGCTGAAAACTGATTGTTTTGCAGCAAAAAGTTTGTGCCCATATGATGTATTGTGCTATGTTTTAGCCAGATTATAATCTGACAATTTTTCACAAGTGTGACTACTGGACAGCGAACACATACAGACAGGTGACAAATGGAAGAAAAACCCAGCATAAAGTGTCTCAGTAAGGTGTTGGGTCACCAGAACAGCTTCAGTGCTCCTTGGCATTGAAGTCTCTGAGCTCTACTGTCGGGATGAACATCATTCTTCTAACAGATATTCCCTCATGTGGTGTTTTGATGATGGTGGTGGAGATGCTGTCTAACATGTCGCTCCCACATCTCCCATAGGTGTTCAACTGCTTTCAGATCTGGTGACTGTGAAGGCCACAGTATATGATTCACATCATTTTCATATTTATCAAACCATTCAGTGATCCCTCATGTCCTGTGGCTGGGGGTACTGTCATCCTGGAAGAGATCACTTCCATCAGGGTGTGCCTTTCATTTGTCACCCTTCTGTATCGACTTAACAGTTTAAGTGTTAAACTGTTTAACGCTTCAGTAAATGTTGGTCACAGGCAACAGCTAATTACCCTTTCAATCTCCTAGGAAGAGATATTACCTCTAGCAGGATAAGGAATCATTAGAGAGTAGATTATTTATTTTCTTCTTACCCAGAGGAACCAAAAGGATTTACTGTGAAAACATAAAGTGGTGGAACTAGAACACTCATTTAGTATTTTCACATTTGAACATGAGTGGATTGTGTTTTTGCTCCATTTTGTAGTAGCTGAGTGTTGTCTTATATAAGGAAGACAGACTCTTATTCAAGGTTTTAAAAATATAGTTCCACTTTTTAATAGGTCAGCCATAATAAAGGGTTTTACAGTCAGCATAATTCATGGCTTTGCTAACGGTTAATAAATCATTTGCTATTGTTTTTTGGATCAGCTATAATCCATTTAGGTTGACAATTGTGAAAAATTGAAAGATTCCTTTGCACTTGGATTTTTAAGTCAATAAGACCCTTTAATGGACATGTAACTTCTAGAAAAACATGAGCAGACTCTGGACAAATATTCATTTATCAACAGGTTATTAACATGTGTAATTGTAAAACAGATGGCTTATTAGAAAGTGTGAAATTATTTACAAATAAAATGACTAAATACCAGCCAGGAGAATGTTTTTTTTTGTTGTTGTTTTTTTTTTTTTTACAAATCATTGTTATTAAAGGTCTGTATCTAGGATATATAAAGCATTTGTAAGCCACTAATAAAGATACTAGTTATAGTATATATTAGTAATTTGCAGTAAATTCATAAAGAAACAGTGGTAGCAGCAGGCATTAAAAAACAAGGTGCTGCATTCAACCATTGCATTTGCTTGGTCATTAGAGTGCTATTCTGGCTCTTGGTTGCCCTTTCATGAACCTATCAGCTGCCAACTGTTCAGGGATATAAAATAAATGATTCATGTCTCTTATATAATACATAAGCCCATCATTGTCATTTCTGCATAGATGAAAAGACACAGTGATGAGCAGACCAAGGATGCATGAAAGACCCAGTGTCTGGGTGAGACTCAAAATCACTCAACAAAAGGATCTGACATGCAGCGGAGGCTTCTCATACTCTTTGTTCATTCTGCAAGGTAACTCGCACAAGTCGACAACCCACCGACATCACCAGAGAAAGATGATTACAGCTGTAGTTCCAGACTGACAGCCTTCTCCAACTCCACGGGCCATGCCATGGTTACCGAGGTACTGACAGCACAGGAAAGAAATGCTTGAAAAAGAGTGATATGTTGTTTTCTCGTTCTCCTCCATCACTTGAGACAGGTGAGAAGACTATGCATTCCAATTAGCATCTGTCACTGCATACTGTAAATTAGGCTCACATCAGACGTCTTGGTCTGAAGTGGAAATCAGTGTATTCGGTGACACACTGGGGCAGGATTTTATGGTAAACATATTGATTGGTAAACTGATCTTTCCTTAAATCGTTCTCACTATACAACAGACACATTCTTATACTCACAAAAAAATAAATAAATAAAAGTAGCATGCTTTTTTAATTTTTGTTTTTCAATTTAGAGTGGTAGCATCAGGATGCAGCTGTAGATAGTGTTTTTATCAGTAATCAACATCTGTGAGGTCAACAATGATAATGATCATTAAGATTATACTGTTAAACTAAATAAGAGAAACAAGAAGAAAAGCGGTAATTAATAAGAACAGTAATGACACTTTTTAAAATTTATCTGCATTAACAGCTGTCTGGAATCCAAACATAGTTTCACATTAGAGGCACTTCAGGTTTCCCAGGAACAACCACTGTTACTGTCACAGTGTAAAACTTAAAAATGGTATATATCATCTACAAAGAAGTGTTAATTTCTACAACATGGAGACACTGATAACAGATATGAAGCTTGTCACAACGGATGGAGTGTAAATGCATTCTTCTCTACATGCAGAATGAAAATGTGTTGTTGCTCCTCATCTGCAGTACTTCAAAAAATAACATGTCTGGCTGCAGTGTTTGTGCTTCAGCTCTTTGAATGTCAAAATCACAAAAAACTCAAAGTACATCACTGATGCTATTCCTGCTCTTTTGCCATGTAATTGGCTCTGATTACAGAATATGTCAGGTTGTCTTAACAGTTATTAAAAATTTCTTGTCTTTAGACTTTTTCGAAGCAATCATTAGCCTGCATTTCAGAACTACCAAACAAATTAAGTTGTTCCATGTATGGCTAATTTCCATGCATTAATAAGACACATTATCATCATAAAGTAAGTGATTATTGCAACTGTCATTAAATGCAACAGCTGTAGTGACTTGAGATTTAGATGATCTATATTCATGCAGCCATAAAATCTGACATTCATGAACTTTGGTTCCATTTCAGTTCAATTTTAAAACTCTGATCTCTCTCCCCTCTCCTTATTTCACCTCTGACAACTGTGATATATTCATGGCTCCAGGTCTTTTTCATAGTCTGACTTTAGATGCACTTTTCCCCCTTATCTATC